TTCAGCTCCTAATTTCTTATTTTCTATAACTAATTCCTTTGAATATTACCAGCAAATCGGACTTAAATTTGAGGAAGAAACTAGTGAAATGCTACATTTGGAGCATAGCTCTGTATGGGGCTGGAACATGGACACTTAGGGCAGTAGATCAGAAACATCTGGAAAGTTTCGAAATGTGGTGTTGGAGAAGAATGGAGAAGATCAGTTGGACCGATTATGTGAGAAATGAAGAAGTGTTAATTAGAGTCAGTGAGCAGAGGAATATCCTACATGAAATAAGAAAACGGAAGGCTAATTGGATTGGTCATGTTTTACGCAGAAACTGCCTTCTAAAAGAAGTTATTGAAGGAAAGATAGAGGGGCGGATAGAAGTGACAAGAAGACGAGGAAGAAGACGTAAGAAGATGCTGTATGACCTTGGAGACAGAAGTGGATACTGTCATTTGAAGGAGAAAGCTCTAGATCGCATTAAGTGGAGGAATTGTTTTGGAAGAGACTGTGGACCTGTCGTCTTAACAGATTACTGATGATGATGGTGATGTCGGCATTAGTTGTTCAGAATTATACTATATATAAAATTGAAGTATTAAAAATCGAGGAGTTTGTTAAGTAACAATTCATGAGATACTCCTACAATTTTTTGGTACACGACCGAATGCTCATAAGCGAAATAACGAGGAATACGTCTAGAGACGCTCTTAGGAAGCCCTCCCCTTACAGCTTGACAATACTGGTAGGTACCATACGTATAATGAACGTAGAAAATGTTCTACATGCACTAAAATAGTACAAAAATTGAGTCTTAGTATTGTTCCTGAGTTCTGAACAATTTGTTCATATTATCCTTGTGTGAATTATTATCATGCAGTCTGATAGGTGGATACCAACGTTTCAGAGGAACATAGTGCTTCCGTCCTCAGGTCGAGTGAACAAAGCTAGGAAAGTCGCCATATCAGAGTTTCCTGTTCTTTCTCAATTACCGCTTCGTTCCTCCTCTGATGGAGTAATTGCTCCTTCCCAGTACTTATAGTTGTCACCGCCTGGCTCTGATTGACCACTCCCATCCCCCAGTACCACTTTCCCAATTTAGTTCACTTCTACCTTGAAAAAGGGGGCAGGAGACCACAGTATGAATCTACACTTCTGTGAAAACCTAAATCTCATTCTAAAAACTTTTAATTGTATGGAAATATATTAACATTTATATTTATTTTTTATTTCCGATTATAATCACTTACAATAAGCCAGCAAGGAAGTGATTTAGTGATATGATCCCTATTCTGCTCAGTGCCAAAGGAATCTCTAATTTTCACGATAATACATAATTCAATCCAGACAATACCTCTCACTATTCATACTTTTGGGTTCACAGTGCCTCAGTGCTGATTTCTTTATCGGATATACTACTGTTTAAATAGTTATGAAAGCTTTAGATTTTCATAAAGAAATAAAATTAAGTAAGTTTTGAGGTTTTCACGGCGATGACAATGAAGAAAGTTGTCTTCTGGGTTTAGGCACCGTGTATTCTTCGTTTTGGCCGACGTTCCTCCGAAACGTCGGTTAACACCACATATACATGGTGCCAAATCCCAGAAGACTGCTTTCTTCAACATTAACTTCAATTTCATAAAGCAGTTATGTCCCTCAGCTTCCTCGGCAGGATAGGGGTCACACTTCCGATCCTTTACCAAAATAATATCTTCTTTGGCACTCTGTGGACTACAGTCCTTCTGTGAACAAAGTGAATATAGCGTAGTTGTTGCATCTCAGGAAATATATACATTCTCTATATAATTTATAACGCTAATAGCATGTCACAAACCTTTTGACTTTTCTGTACAATTCTTAATCCTATTTAGCACCAAATCACTGCACACACTAAGGGCGTATCACACATCTGCCCCTTAAAATTTTAATTCATATCTGTAAAACTGGGAAGACAGGAATTTTTCGCCACAAATTTCGTGCTAAAAATGAGAAAAGTTGAAGGATTTGTGCTGGATCTGTGTGTTGTGGTCTTCAAATATGGGTTTTGACATAGGAATGTTTATGTTGTAGAAGAACATTTCCTTTTATCAAAATGAATTGGCATTATTTCGCTTTAAATAGCAAGAACTCAAATCTGCTAACGTGGTAAATACAAAGAGGAAATGCTCTTCTAGGAGGCAACCGTGGTATGTAAATAATATTGATCTTTTGACATCTCTTTCCTGCATAGAGGACTGAGAAGTGATGCACATAATTAAAATCTCGTTTCTGTTTCACTTGGCACATCAGCAAGCACGGTTAGTTTCTATTATTGATCTAGAAACAGGATGACCATATTTTCGTCTTCATATTTCTGCCTAAGAAATTAGTTTTATTGATGATAAAAACCATTTGCATACCAACTAACATTTCTACTCAGCATGCTCGACTTCAGCAAGGTTTTGTATATATGCGTAATTCTTCACTCTGTGGTCGGCGTTTAGTCTTCTAGCACAAGAAGGGCCGCGCTATAGCTCAAGCGGTTAGTCGCTGGCTTCCCACCGCGGCGGCCCGGGTTCGAACCCAGGTCTGGTCAAGTGAGGTTTGTGGTGGACAAAGTGGCGTTGGGGCAGGTTTTCTTCGAGTACTTCGGTTTCCCCTGCCAATCTTCATTCCACCAATTGCTCCACAATCACCCTCACCTATCATCTGGGGATGGTACAATAGGCCAGAAGTGGCCGCAGTACAAGGGGCTTAGTCCCACCCCACTAGCAATAAAAAAATTATATAGCACAAGAAGAAGTATCTGGGTGCAGCAGTGGGTTGACAGAAAATTCAAATGTCATTGTGAGATAATTAACGAAATAACTTTCCTGTAAATTAAAACATCTCTAGGTGTCACCATTCTGTTGACTAAGCCACAATTATAAACCTTTTTCTACAGGGTGATGCAAATTAGACGGAATTGGTTCTAACTTTTATTACTTGACGTTCGTAATTCTAACTGTTATTCTCATCACACGTGTAAACCTTTCGTAGACGGGTGACTTACCCAGTTTCACAAAATCTATGAACAATTTGATGAACTGAGATTTGTTTTGAACCTTGTTCTTGCAGTTTCTTAAGAAGGACTTAACTATAAAAATACTTTGTTCAACAGAATACTCCGTCTTTATTAACTTGTCAAGTCTCCATTTTGTGTTCTGTCCTGTCATTTTGTTTACAGGATAGGTTTATGTGAGACGGTGGTGCGGTCCTTTGGTAAAGCGTCACCACAATGCAAAATTAAGGCTATTGAGTTTCGGCTCCGTCTTATTTCCGTCATTCTGTGTAAAATTTTACATTTTTCTTGCTGCCTAGCTTTGAAACTAGGAATATATGGTCATCTCAGCCATTACGCGTGGATGATGTGACCGACTCTTGCGTAACATATGCATATGTTCTCCATTTCCTGTTTAGCGGTAGGAAATCTATGATGCCGTTGTATAACGTCATGGGGCTGTATGCGGTGTGGCGAAAATGTGGCTGACTTTTAAATATCACGCTTTTCATTGTATGTTTTAAATATTTTCACAGAAATATGCGATAAAATAATTAACAGTAAAATACACATATGCTACTTCTCATGGTATGGTAAAGCATTCGTGCGTAAATCATGTAACCCATGCCCTCAGATATTTTACGTTCATTTTTCCGAGGATTTTTGAACTGCAGTTTCTGTTCAAAACAATGGATTCAGTTGTCGTGCAGTTGTTAGAAATTTACTGACGTTTCGGAGGAACGTACTGTTTCTATCTTCAGTGTCGAACAGTAATCAAAGCAAGCAGCAGCTTGTTACATTCTTGTTACTCGGTTATTTTCCTCTTCGGCCCTCAGAATTAAGGCAGGACTTCCTTCTGAAACGTCAGTGAACTTCTACCAAACTGCATGGCTCCAAAACATAGAAGACTGTGCTGTTTGTAACCACCGCTGTGGGAACCTCAAATATGAAAATTTGTTCTAAAAGTTTGTGATGATGGTAAATTGTTACAATTAATACTTTGCTGGACATTATCCATCATCTTGTCTATTCTAAAAAACAGTCTAGTTTCTATTAAAAAAAAACACAACGTTTCGAGAACTGGAATCTGTCCCCGTCTTCAGGTAAAACCTACTCAGTTGGGTCCAATAGACAGAGCTAGCCCCTATCTCCGGTCCGGAGATAGGGGCTAGCTGTCTATTGGACCCAACTGAGTAGGTTTTACCTGAAGACGGGGACAGATTCCAGTTCTCGAAACGTTGTGTTTTTTTTTAATAGAAACTAGACTGTTTTTTAGAATAGACAAGATGATGGATAATGTCCAGCAAAGTATTAATTGTAATGAAAATTTGTGTTGTTCACTCTAGTACCTTTACACGCGTCTTAAGAAAATACGATTTATGCTAAGAATATTTATAACCCTTTGCATTAATAATGTTTAAAATCTACATTATGGAATCCTTCTCGAGAACCTAATAGTCGCTCAGCCATTGAGAAAAGTCCTTTCATGGAACACACATTTTTAGTGCCCTGTTCATAAGTGCCCACCACTGAATTCTGCTCCAACCAACCAAAATGTTATATGCATTTCATGTCTCTCCCGAGCATGTTACAGATCCTGCTCCTCACATTCTTATCTGTTTTTTTTTTCTTGGCATTACAGCCCCAGTGGGCCTAGGCCTACCTCCATGAACTCCGTTCACTTTCGGTTTTTCTAGATCTTACACATACGATAGTACTCCTTGGGCGGGTGATCAGCTCGTCGCAAGGCCTCTACCTGTACTGAAGGCCCATAGAGTTGTGAGACGTTAAGGGTCCCACATTATCTAGACAATCGGCTCAAAGATGACGGTAAGGTTGTCAGCCTTACGCGCCGGCCGCGCTTTACTCCCCAGGAAAATTATTTAATTAATTCCTGGTACTCATTTATGTTAGAGGCTGAGTCGACCCCAGGTCCATAGTGTGGCTGGAAGGATTAGATCAATTGAGAAAAATCCAATTACCTCATCGGGACTTGAACCCGTGACCTTCCGGCTTGTAGCATAGTACCTCAACCAACTACGCTACCGTGTCCCCCTCTTCTCTATTTGGTCGCCCAAATTATATTTGCTGCAATATACAAATTGCATTGGAATGTTCCCCAGTCTTTTTGTTGCTCCATCTGCTGTAGGGCCAGTAGTCTCGAGATTTTCTTGAGAAATATTAATATTACTTTCTGTTTATTCATTGTTGATGTTACGTTTCTAGATGTGTGAGCATGGGCATTCAAAGTCCTGCTTGTACATAGCCCTATTATACTTGACTGGGCACCCCAGCAAGTATGAAAAACTCTGATTTTTGCGAAACTAGGTAAGAATATAACGATATTGTAGATCAGCCAATAGCGTATTTTGAATTCCCTCATTCAGTAATTCCAGCATCAAAGCAACGAGAAGTAATGAAATTGAACAAATTAATATGTTCTCGTTTTCATATTTGAATGCCACGAAAATTAGATTTACGGGAAAGATTTTTTTTTTGTATTTATTCCAAAGAGTGGCTTACAACTTGCCCAAAATGTTTCATATCCAAAACATAGAGATAGTTGGAATAAACGGTTTTATGTTTTGTATACGATATTTCAACATAACATATTACTTAATTTTGTGCAGAATTAATATTACATCATCCTTTCAGACACTGCACTATTTAAATTTAGTGAATAATCTATTTTACTGTTGAATTACGAATTACGATGGTGGTTACAGCAATTTCCGTTACAGACCTTCATATTTTCATTCTCTTGGTTACATGGTTTATGCATACACATCTAATATCCTAGATCCTTAAACCTTCCTTAACATCATGAAGTTAATGATATCAGTTTGCAAGACTTGTAGATACTCTTTGTAAAAACAAAACTGTAATCCTTAATAGACAAAAGCAGTTGAGTACAGGGGCAACCAAACAACCCCTCAGTGCAGTAGGTTAGGCTAACATTAACTTGGCACATTCTGTGGTAACACCTTCAAGCAATTTCTCTTAATGTGACTGATATTTCATCACTGAAGGTTCTGCTGCTTTTCTTGACATCTCTTTCAGAGTACTTTTGTCTATTCTAATGCACAAAGACAATTTTACAACACTCTTTGTACTTCAATTTCATAATAAAACAATACTTCCATGCCAGTAAGCTAGGGCCACTTTGACTATGATTATTTGCAATTATTTTGGACCCTCCAAGAAGTAAGTCATTATGTGAGCTGCTACATTTTTCGTTTCAAGACTTAACAAAGACATGGGCCTATTGGATTCTCTATTATAAAATGCATTTATTGCATGCAGGAGAACACAGTTCATATGTAAATATATTAATGTTATTTTACAAAAACGTAGTTTCAAATGAAAACGAACGAATTGGAATAACTGCCCCATACTTTTTTGTGGCGTGGTTCTTAATACAGCACGTAGAAAATCAGGACTGAACTAAAAGAAAACTGAATAGAGCTGTCCTGTATGTGGCACCGTGTTGTCTGGTATAAGTTTACTTTCTGCTTGTTGCCTTTACTCTTCGACCCTGAAGATGGAGGCAATACGTTCCTCCAAAATGTCGGTAAACTTCAACCAGGCTACATAGCATCACAGGCCGAACGGTAGTTCTCTTCAACAGCACCACCGTGACGTCACATCTCACGTAACAGAAAATCAATTATAAAATCGAAATTAAAATTAGTGTGACGTATGTATGAGACTTCTAGCGCATGGGTTAAAACTATTGAGGAATGTGAAACAGGGTCACTTTCTGTGTGGAATCTTCAGAGTACTGAAAACATCCTCCACAATCTGATTATTCGAGGTGATTGGGAAAGTCGCTCGCCTAGCGTCTGGATTTCATTACGCCTGGTTCCAGGCATGGAAGATCCGTGGCAGCAGTGTATGGCGGAAGAGAAACTGCTAAAGGCAATGAATGCTGAGGCATCTACTGCGTCAGGAAGGAGTTGTTCTTCGTGAGCAGTCCCGCACTGCTCTCAGACATGGGGATCACTGCTGCCTTCTCCCCCTGCGGGATCTTCCCTCTGGACTTGATGTTCGGCTTCAGCCCCTTCAGCAGATTCTGCAGATTCAACGTGAAGTTCGTTTCGGTTAGTATCAGAGCAATTTAAACCCGAAGTTGACTCTTTAAATTATACGGAAAGGCTCCTTTTTTATGTTGGCACTATACAGATGCCTCATCGAAATACAAAATCTGTGGCCTGTAGTCCTTAATCGAACTATCCCGACCGAGCGACCGCCGCTTGTCGGCCAAGTTAGTGCCAACTTCAGCGGATAGAGGGTGTCACGTGGTCAGCGCAACGGGTCCCCACGGCCTTCAATCTCGGTTTTCTAGACCGGAGCCGCTATTTCCTTTAAATAGCTCCTCAATTATTCTCAGGAGGCTGAGTAGACCCCGTCCTAGACCCACTACTCTAAGAAAATCTGGTAACGCCGGGAATCTAACCCGGGACCTCTGGAACTATAGGCAGGAACTCTGACCTCTAGCCCACAGAAGCGGTCGTACTTGTTGCATATTTATGTTTATCTATCTGTCTTATCTGTGATTTTACATGTCGATAGATTATGTCCTGTCATTGAATTTATAACATTTTCTTTTGGAATCTGACCCTTCAGTGTTGGCTTCTGTTTTGATAGTACTCTGATTTTTAGACTCTGGCCGTTACATATGCATGGTCATATGTGGAAAGCTTCATGTATGTGGATTTTTTAATATTCGTCTTAAGTCTCTCAGATGGTTTGCGTCGTGTTTGGTTTACATATCCTTCCTCGTATTGGTTCTGGTGTCGGGAGATACGAACTAGTTCTACTGATTGGGTTCAGCTGGATAAGCTTTATGCCTGACAGCGAGACAAGAGCCCCGTCTCCGAAACGTTGTTTTCGATAAAAAAAGACAGGATGGTGGATAATGTTCAGAAATCAATAATTGTACGAAATTAACAGTGTTTGTCATCCGTTCATTTTAATAGTTAACCGCGAATAACTTCTGGCAAGAAGTTTCTCCTTGAGAAATAGTCGCTTAGCTAGGCAAGAAATTACCAATTTTTATGAAACCCGAAGATTTACAACCCTGGAAGGCAGACGTCATGTCTTGTGGGATATACCGCTGTGCTATGTGGTACATCGTTACCAGCATAATGAAGGAATCTGTTGCCACCGTTTTCAGTGCATAGGAATATTCCGAGTGTGGGAAAAAGAGTACGGTTATTGGGAGAGGGAGCACGAAGACGTGGGACCTGAACAAACGTCTTACCGCAGTCTTCACAGTCAGACAGTGTCATTATTTGAGTGAAAAAGAAAGGAAACAGAACTCATAATAAATATAAGTATTTTGTGGATGTGCCAGGAATGCGCGTGGAAGGAGAGTGAGCATTTCTGGCATCTGCTACAATGTGATTATGGTTTATTTGCAATGTCTGCAGGCCCTTAATTTTTCGGTTAAGCCTACGGTAGATGTTCGAATTCCAGCGACCCGAGTTAACGCGAAGAGCGTGTCCCTGCCGCCTGCGCTGTTCAGCGGCTCTATGGCGACTCTCAGGCAAATACACTCTATCTGATGAAGAGCGGATGTAAAACTCCTCATTATTCAATTATTCAAATTGTCCTTTTTTTTCCTCTCTCTTATGTGCATATACGTATACTCGGAAATATATTCTCAGCCACCTCTGTTTTAGCTCACTTTCCTTATTTGGAAAAAAATAAATGGGGCTTGTGAGGTCGTAGTGACCGAGTGACTGTGCTGGCGAGGATCACCAGCTGTTTACCCGACTGACCTTGTTGTCTGTGTGTCCGTGCCTACCTTTCCCCTCCCCTAACGTTTTTAGGCATCGAATACATTCGCAACGACAAGGAAAAATTGTTGGACGCATTGTTTTATATGTGATCCGTGTAGTATTAAAAGGAAATAGGCGACTAATTCTTCCCAGAACTTCTTGTTAGATTAAAACAACTTTCGACTCATCTTTTACAACTCTAGTTTCATATTTCAATAAAGTTCGTAAAATGTTAATTAATTTATGAACCGGCAGATAACATTGTTACGTCTTTATACTGAATTCTTCTCGAAATGTCCCGCAGTATCACGAGGAATTTGCTCACCTCTTTGACTGATCCTGGTGTGGCTAGGACGTAGTAGATGGCATAGGCAGGGACCCAGCTCATGGATGCGAAACTCATGCAGAAACCAAGCCTCTCAGCCCACCGTGGGTATTTATATGACTTGCCATAGGTTATTGGCTTATAGTCCACACAATAAAAGACGAAAATTGCCTGAAATAGAACATTATGAATTTATATTCAATATTGACAAACCACAGACCTCGCGGGAGAATTCTTCTATTCCTGCTGAGAATAACAAAGTATGGTTTTAGGATACAACTCTACAGAATTGAATAACCGGCCAGGATAAGCCCGGCCAACCCTTTCACGGGCCCTCATCACTTTCAGACATGAAGAAAGCAGTCTTCTGGGATTTGGCACCGTGTATATATGGTGTTAACCGACGTTTCGGAGGAATGTATCGCCTCCGAAACGTCTGTTAACACCATATATATACACGGTGCCAAATCCCAGAAGACTGCTTTCTTCATAGTCACCGCCGTGAAAACCTCAAATCTTACATATCCATATATATGGGCTGGAAACAAATGATTTCAAGGTTTTGCTAAAGACATGTACGTTGAACAGGCTGCAGAACATACAATATTGACGTCTCAAGAGAAACTCGGCGTTTAAACTCCTCAGCTATTTTGTAGTAATAAAGGACATGTGTATTCGCAGCTATCCTCATAGCTCGGGGTCCTTGAGGAGCTGATAGTCGCTTTAAGTGATCCTTCTTCTATAGAATTGGATGGTTCCTTGCCGTGTTTACAGTAGACTCCAGTATTAGCTACTTGAATCTGAGTCACGTTCTTTTTTGTTTTTGTGAATCTGATCTTCATTTGAGGTCTTATGCGTTGGTACCGACGTATATCTTTGTTTTATTGTTTATAACTTATTTACCGCGGGTCGCAATGTGTCCGCGACCTGCGCATTGGGAGGGCATGATCTGGGAAATCTCCGATCATACTAATTATGTTTTCGTGGTGCTGGAGTAACTTTACGAAAGTTTTATTTGGTTCATTATTCGTAATTTTCTTTTTAGCTTAATCATAAATCCCTGATTCACTTTTATGTGGCTTTGTATTATACAGGTGGAACTGTAAGTGCAGTATGGGAAGTGTTACGCACTGTCATATCTGTTAAAGAATTATTCTTCGGGTATCAGCAGTTTCAAACTTGATGTGACCGCTGGCACATGAAAATGAATGAATATGAAACTCAACCTGAGACTTAGGCCGGTTCAGTTTTATCGTACACTGAATGTACCTGACATCCCCTTTGTGGATCAACTAATATATCCAATTTGTAATTTTTGATGAGAGAATTTCATGTTGCAGGTAGGAATGATCGAAGCCAAGGCCTTCATAACATTTTTTATTATCTAGTCTGTATTCACAAGTGAGCCATTAAGCGCTATGTTAAAATAACCATACATGAAACACTGATTAGGCCAATGATTTTTAAACTTTCTCTGCCTAGGAATTTGGGGCATGTACCCATCTTCTGAAATTCCAGCGCCTAGAAAACAAGGTTCTCCGCACCGTGAGTAATTATTCAAAACGTACAGCGGTTCGCAATCGCGCGTGGATTTTAAACAACCCTACGGACATGATTGTACCACAAAATTATGCAGGCAAGAAGCAGAAGTCGAACAAAATCATGAGAATGAAAACATTCGCAGCACAGGATAAGGCGAAACCGGACACAAAAAATGTAAGAGGCTTATACTTGGCGGCGGTCAAACTTACTTCCATTCAAGTAATAAGCTACTATTACAGCATAAGTTAAGCGGGCTCCTCTACGTTACGTTGTAACTGTAAATACTTAACAATCTGAACACTTAGCAAGGACTAAGGCATTCACAAAGGACAGATCCATCCTCTCATCAGAGAATAAGCCAAACGACGATTTTAACGTTAACGGTCCAGTTTGTAAGAAATGAAATATCTGATCATATGCCTCAGAAGGAATTCGACGCCAGGATGGGCTGACTGGCCGTAGAACACCAGTCGTAGAGAAATCCTGTCTCTGTCTCTGACCATAGTCAAATCATATCCTGATGATGAATACAGACATGGTCCCCGAAACATTGGGAAATCTTAGCCATTTTACACAGCTGATTGTTCTAGGTTTCATTCTGCCGTGAAAGCTTCAGACACCCAGTTCTTAGGTCATGTCCTCACCTCTTGCTCTTTCGTGCTAACCGTTGTTCAATCGCAGGAATACCTAAGCTCTGCTTGCCTCAGCAAGGCAACACATACAAATGAATTGTTTGCGCGGTTCTCATTTTGTCAGTCCCGCCGTTCTTAATGACTTTGTTCTAATTTGCTTCTTAGTGCTCTACAGCCCTCTTGAACCTTGGCCACTTTGTCAGTTTCTTAATCTATACACAATCGATAGGACTCCTTGGACGGTGGATCAGCCCATCGCAAGGCCGCTACCTACACACAGAATGACACAATCACAGAATAAACGCACAGACATCCATGTTTCGAATGGAATTCGAGCCCATGATCACAATGTTCGAGCGGGCGAAGGCGGTTCATGCCTTAGGCCGAGTGGCCACTGTGATCGTCTGCTTAGTCCTCTAGCCTCAGTGTCGCAGAAGTGTCGACAGGGAAGGTCTGAAGCTTCATTCATTGCTAGATCTCAAACATTTCTGTTGTACTTGTATTTGTTTTTGTATTGTATTTAACGACATTGTCAGTAAATCAGACTGTACTCGTATATTGACGTCGATTTTCTGTCGTGATATGTTCTAAAATGTCTACAGCGTCTTAAACACGAGGTGTTTAAGTAAAGTCAGTAAAGTGATTGGCTACGGGCTGGAAGACCGGGGTTCATTTCTTAGCAGAGACAAGGATTTTTCTCTTTGTCATCACTGTATCAAGACGGCTGTGGGGTTCGACCAGCCTTCTATCCAATGGCAAACCAAAGATTTTCGCTGTGGGTAAAGTGGCCTTAGAGTAAACCTGAATGTTTATCTCAATCTAATGACTAGTTTAAGAAACTGGAACCAACCTCCATTTTCCCCATAACCGTTTTTTTTTCAGGCTCGTATTAACAATATTATTTATGCGCTGGGCTAAATTATATATAGCAGAAACTTACCACCATTACTACAGGGGCAAAGAAAACCCAGCAGAAATACCAGAATTTGTTGGGCCGGATGCCCATCATCTGCTGAACACAGTCGATAAATTTCTGTGCCCCGAATATCCAAGAAATGGCGATAGTTTGGAAGAAGCAGACCCACAATAGTGACATGCCACTGGCTGAGTAGAAGTCCATCAGCTGGAAGATATACGCTCCACCCTGTAAACGAAGAAATTGTAATAGAAATAGCTTCCATAAGAAAGCCGAACGTACGGTTAGTGTTTCCTGGCTGAAACCCGGAGCATAGTCTAATGACAGTCACGATACTGGGAGCCGAATAAGGTAAGTAAATAACTCCATGGAGAACAGGGCATCTTAAAGTACTGATAGTGGCTCAGCCGATCAAGGAACTCCCTGCCTTTAATGGGTTTCGAGGGTTCTCCACCTAGTACACGCCACTATACTTATTTCTGAACCAAATAATTTCAAACAACAACATTGCACCATATTTTAGGTCAATTTTAATACTGTTATCCAATATACAACTAGCTAGTTATGTAGACTGCAAAGGTTTTTGGTGATTGTGTGTAACTCTTGTAATTACTGGGCTTTGGACTGTGTGAGATTATCCAGTGACATGTTAGCGTCTTCTTACGGACCCAACAGAGTAGATATCTCCCACCGCCTCATCTGTGGACCGAAACAGAACCAGTTTCCGCAACGTTACGTTCGTTAGTGTTCTTTGGAACACAGGACGATGAACAAAGTCCAAAAACCCAGTAATTCCGACTCGCAAGTAATGTTCCCTTCTGATTTTTCGACTAAAATTTGCTAATAATATCCTATCTTCCTTTGCATGCTACGTATCACGCCCATCACATCCTCCTTGATTAGATCACAGTAATAATATTGAAAGTTGACTCTAAGTGCATTTACATGTGTAACCATCGGAATTCCGAGCGCCATCATGACAGCACACATCCCAAATGTGAACTTCTTCCGGTGAGGGCGCAGTACTTCCGGCCAGTTGTCGACCATTCCTGTGACAAACGATTCTACGATGCAAAATTCACTGTCGATTCCAAGGATCTATAAAGAGAACAAAGCCCTGTACATTTGCTGGTACAAATGGGCCAAGTAGTTTCTTAAATAACATCAAAATACAAGGATGAAATTCTTGTCCTTCAGGCCTGTCATTATTATTTATTAATGACTGAAGAAATTAATGTTCTAGACATTTGGTAAGACGTCTTAGATAAGGGATCGGCCAGCCGCGAGGCCCGTACCTGCAAAGAAGGGAAGAGGACATGGAAAAAGAAAACAAAGACAAAACTTCTCGTCTAATTTTCAGAACAGTAAAAGCATAGGATATATTGTTATCACCGTCATAAACGTCAAGGTTTTGGCCTTCAATCCTGTCACGGTAAACTCCGCAGTTTCGGGCGTTCAGTGAGTCTTCTTCTTTTAGTACATAATTCATTATTTCTCGAGGTCTAGTATGAGGTGCCATTCTTTCTGCATATCGAGTCCAGCTAAGTCTATCATTCCTAATTTTGTTATTTCGCAGTTTCGTCTTCTGACACACTCTGAGGGATATCATCTTTGCAGCTTCTTTACTAATTATGATGCTGGGATGGCTCGCTATAAAAACCTCAAATCCATTATGGCTACTTCATGTTCCTTGTTACGTCAAATTGTCCATCTGCGTCTGTATTCGGGAGATAGTGAGTTTGAATCTGAACACTATTAGACGGATATTCATTCTCAAGTCTTCCTGATAACAATACTTACAGTATTTCACCGGAAAATCTGAAAGAAACATACCGCTTGAAGTAGACGGTAGGATGAAATTAAAATGTATGTGAACGAAATAAGGTGTGACGATGAGGCGATGTGAACGCTGAAATGAACTTGCGGTTCACACAAAAGGTTGGGAAATCTTATGGCCTACTGAACGATTATAAGCTTCTCCATGGAGTTATGTTATACGTACCACCAGCATGAAAAAGAAAATGGCCGCCCAAGCGGGAGCACCGGGAAGCTTCAGCACCACCTCGGGGTACGTGAGGAAAACAAGCCCTGGTCCACTTTTCACCACGTCAGACACCTCCGCCCCCTGTTCCAGGGCGATGTGGCCCAGGATGGAGAAGGTCACACAGCCGGCCAGTAGACAGGTCAGCGTGTTCACCACGCACGTGATGAGAGCGTCCCTATAGGCAGAAGCAAGTATGGACAGCGTAAGCCGATTGTGTGAAAACAGAAATTGCATGGACCCTTGCATCCATCCGTCAGGCGCAGTGTTTCGACTCCGAGATGAGGGAACGGATATCAGTACAATATCATACTCACCGGTCTAAACGAAAAGTGAAGAGCGAACTTACAGCTTGACTCACAGCGGCCCCTAGCTCCTAGAGCTCAACTTGATCTCTGTTCATTTTGTTAAGCAGTGGCCTCGGCTTTCGGCACAAAGCCTTGTTGTTTCGACAAACATTGCAGTTTCCGTCTTCAGGGTTAAAGATATTGTGAAGGGTTTGTGCAGCGTTTATTCAGCTGTCGCATTATATTGGAGAAGAAGCCATGATTGAATGAACATNTCCGATCGAGGCTACATAGGGAGCAGCGAAGGCTATTCACAGTCAGTTCTAGTGTGGCTACCGCAGAGTTGTACTGAGTCAGTCAGCGAGTCCTGGACCTATCGTCGAGTTAGCCAGCAACCAGTCTGTTGTATTGTGGTATTTGGAGTGTACTATTTGTGATACTGCAGATAGCAGTAATCGTCAGATTGTAATTTGGGTGATTGTAAGAGCGAGTGTGAAATAATATTCGCTATATCGAATACNGTGAAAACAGAAATTGCATGGACCCTTGCATCCATCCGTCAGGCGCAGTGTTTCGACTCCGAGATGAGGGAACGGATATCAGTACAATATCATACTCACCGGTCTAAACGAAAAGTGAAGAGCGAACTTACAGCTTGACTCACAGCGGCCCCTAGCTCCTAGAGCTCAACTTGATCTCTGTTCATTTTGTTAAGCAGTGGCCTCGGCTTTCGGCACAAAGCCTTGTTGTTTCGACAAACATTGCAGTTTCCGTCTTCAGGGTTAAAGATATTGTGAAGGGTTTGTGCAGCGTTTATTCAGCTGTCGCATTATATTGGAGAAGAAGCCATGATTGAATGAACATTCTGCAGAGATAAAACATAGCATCGACTTCAACGGAATGGAAGTTACAGGCAATCTCCGGATGTGCCGTCCACGTATCATCAAGCAATTCTTCATAGTAACAGAACGCCCCTAGAATGTTTACCTTGAAGACGGATACAGATTGTGTAAAATCCGGCTTCGCCTCTCCCCCCCTACCCATCATTGAACCACCTTCGTCCAACAGTCAATGAACTTCCTTTCCTAACCAGATGAGGAAGAGGAGGAGGAAGAGGAAGAAAATAAAAACTTGATATTCCATTACCGGTATTATAAATGCGAGGTAGCTGAAACGTTTTCTTTTCGCGCCTTTTCTGTGGAACACGTGGTCGCCAAAACGTTTCTCAGTTCCTTTTTCAGTTAACCAATTTGTCACTTAAACATATCTCATTACCTCTTTTCGTTAACTACGTTGTCACTTAAACATATCTCATTAACTCTTTTCATTAACTACGTTGTCACTTAAATATATCTCATTACATCTTTTCATTAACTACGTTGTCACTTAAACATATCTCATTACCTCTTTTCGTTAACTACGTTGTCACTTAAACATATCTCATTACCTCTTTTCATTAACAACGTTGTCACTTAAATATATCTCATTACCTCATTTCATTAACTACGTTGTCACTTAAACATATCTCATTACAGTTTTCTGACTCCTGTTTTTAAAATAGGACGATGGATGTTGTCCAAAACGTCAGCAGTTGTAAGAAGATCAGTTTTGCTTATTTTGGGTGCATTTCTATATATAATGTGGCAGCCTCCCTCCATTCTACCAACTGAGCCTCGCAGTTCAGTTGTTAATCTGCCGCAACACCGGTCGTCATGGGGTTACCATCCTTACTTGTAGCAGTTGTGGTGGAACTTGTTGTAAGAACCCAGTGCCGGTAGGGCGCCGGTACCGATGCTGTAGGCGAAGAAGATCTGCGTCGCGCCATCTATCCAGGGCCCAGGCCCCAGGAGCTCTTCCCAGCGCGGCGTCACATAATACAGTAGACCCTGATCGGCGCCGTTGAGCGTCACGGCGCGAACCAGAAGCACGAGTAGCACCGCGTAGGGGAACAGGGCCGTGAACCAGATGATCTGTAGGCACAAGCTGGTAGTTGCTTAGCTGTTTACGAAATTATTTCCTATTACGGAACCCGAGGGTTCATTGCCATGTTTACAAGAGCCCCCCCACTTGGTTTTACCCTGAACCAGATGAGTCTAAATAGATTCTGAAGGCTTCTGACGATGGTGTATAATACTCAGAATTACTGGGTTTTAGGCTTTGATCATTCTATGGTATTCTAGAGACTAGAAACATAACTTTTCGGAAACACATCCTGTTTCTGAAACGTTGTGTTTACTAGCTTCTAGAATACCGGACGATGGACACAGTCCAAAAAAACAGTAATTCTCAGCAGAATCTAGTCCACTCCCTAATTCTTAAGATCAGAGTTAAGATTTTCCTCCCATTTTCACATAGGTATCTCAAGGACTTTTTTCTTCGAGGTTTCTAACTAATATTTTGTATTCATTCATCATCTTTCAAATATGTGCTACATGCCCGGCCCATCGCATCCTCATTGAGTAGCTCGCCTAATAATATTTAGCAAAGACTCCAAATTGTAGAGCTCTTTATCGTGTTGCGTTCCAGAAGACGCAAACGGAGCTGGAAAATAAAAAAAAAAGAAGGATGTTAAGGAAAAATGTTATGAAATAAACAGAATATTACACAAGAATGTGAAAGAATACTTTTACAAGAAACAACAGGCCAACTACGAGCAAACATTTTACAAAAATAAAAATATCTTCAAAACAATTGCAGAAGAGGTAAAGGTAAATGTGTCCCTGTGCTCAGTTCATTAAGTACGATGCTATGAACACGTATGGGGCGATTAATGTATAAATCCTCATATTCTTGATCTCTGCAGCACACGGAGGTGAGTGGTCAGCTTCACGGCCGCCATCCATTGGATAGGAGATTGGGTGGTCCTCAAAGTCGGTATCGATAATAAAAGATATTGCGCGGAAGGTTTTCAAGAAATTTTTGGAAATATATTTGACGTCAAAAGTTACAAACAGAATTTTACAAAGACTGGGAGAGGTTGCAAGAAATGTCCTCAGCAGCGCTGGCCTGTTGAGTCCGTCTGCTGGGAAAGAAGGCCACGTCACGAGAAGTGACGATAAATCACGTGGCTTATGAACTGGATATACTTCTGCCAGGGGAAACACGGAGGAAATTCTTGTGAACTAGACCCGGCAGTGATAATGCTAAATGCAGTGGATTCTGACCCTTAGTGGTCAACGGATGGCGTTCATCACCATTTATGACTCCAGTTTTAGTCATATAGCAATGCAAAATGCAGCCCGCATGCACGTTAATGGCCAGCTATAATAATACGAGTATAATTGTTAATTAAGGCCAACGACCTAGATGCTCTATCCATTTAATACCCAGAATTGTTTCCCTGGAGGTAGAACAGTCTGAGCGTTAAGCTATTGATTACTGACCTGCAGGTTAAGAGTGTCTGGAGCTTTACTTTCTGTCCACCATATGTCTTCAAGGCGTTGAGCTTACGCGCATGAATAATTTTACCCATTTTATCTTAGGCTAATAATAATAATGATAATAATAATAATAATAATAATAATAATAAGGAACAGCAATAAATAAACAACAAACATGTAAATATCATAATAGCCTTTAAACTTGGGGGGAGAACTGCAGAAAGCAAAAAAAAAATAATGAAGAGAACCTGAGACCCTGTAGAACCTCCGCTCATACGGTCTGAGATTCGAATTCAGATGGGCCACGACCTCTCCTGCCTTCAGCTCAAGAATACCGAGAAATGATTCCAAACCTGGAGCAACACTGAAAGAGGTGGGGAGTGGTCACAGCCTCACCTTGCCACTGGCGTGCAGGCCGCGCCAGATGATGAGGTATACGAGCCCCCATCCGAGCACGAGGCACCCCAACAGCTCCCATTGCATTCCCCCAAGATCATCTATACCGTCCGTGATTTGGAGCACCCTCTTCCTGCAAAGCGGATGAGAACATGTGTAGAGCGACGTGTCCTACCGACAGCAAGTAACCTGCAAGCTTATATATTAAAATAGTTGGTGCTAAGTACAGAATGTTAAAGAGGGCCAAGTTCCGGGAATCAGTGATCGATCTTGTAATCATTTCACTCTGAGCACGTTGTGGTGTCCATGCTAAGTATTCATCACACATAAATCTATTTGTTGTACGATAAGTTTCGACTGAGACTATGTCATCATCAGGAATCATGATGTCTAAATGACCAGTAGTCAAACTGACATGTTAAGAGTCTATAAGGATTACTATCTGTACATGTTGAATTTCATATTGTGGTACAGAAGAAACAGGGGAACAGATTACACTGCATATGAGGCTGTATTCAGACTGACATGGGTTAGACGACAATCATTTGAACCCAGTACCTGAATGCATGGAGCAAAGTCCAAACCAAGAATTCCCTCGTCTTTAATGGAACCATCAGATTCTTTACCGTGTTCACAAGAACACGCCACTGGACTATGTTCTGACGCAGGAGAGCCCCGTTCACACCCTCACACATTGTTCATTTCCTTTCAAGTACCTCGACTTAAATTTTGTGTGCATTTCTTATTGCTGCCTGATATGATATACTCCCTCCCCTCATCCTTCATTTGATCACCGTACTGATTTGTGAAAAGTACAAATTATAGACGCTCTCGTTACGTAATTTTCCCAGGGCTTGTGTTGCTTCCTCTTCAGATAAGCAGAGTTAGTCGAGTTCAGTGTTACACCTAATAATTTGCTGGTAAATATGAAATGAATGACTGCGTAGCCTCATTATCCTGTGGCCCTCTGTCGCTACAAAACGAAACAGAAGCAGTAGCCTTACTCCCAGTATTCCTCGACTGGAGTGGTCGTGTGGTTCGTGTAGTTGTGCACAATGGACGCGTTCATTCCCCGTGTGTAGCAGTTGGGGCTGTTCCACCAGTTGTCTGCAACCAGAGAAAGTTACAACCTCATGCACTGTCCTTTCACTGATGACTGGCATTTCCCAAAAGATATACACTGTCAGAACATGGGACGGACAAACTGGGGCCCCCGGACCTGAAGCTAGAGCCATATCCACATAGACCTGTTAGTATTATTAAGCCATCGACTTGGGCCGCGCCATAGATCAAGCGGTTAGTCGCTGGCTTCTCACCGCGGCGGCCCGGGTTCGATCCCGGGTCTGGGATTTGTGGTTGACAAAGTGGCGCTGGGGCAGGTTTCTCCTGCCGATCTTCATTCCACCAATTGCTCCACAATCACCCTCACCTATCATCTGGGGCTGGTACAATAGGTCAGAAGTGGCCGCAGTACACGGGACTTAGTCCCCCCCAACTAGCATAAAAAATCCATCGGTTAATGTCTCATTTCTCATTCACGGTACGGAGAAAGTATTGCAGTCGCAAAAATGAGGGGGTATTGAATTCCATAAAGCAGAATCCTTCTTGAAAAGCTTAGAGTAGCCTACCTTGTCGAGGATTTCCCTGCGTCTTCTGGAATCCGAGGGTTCATTACCGTATTCACAAGAGCCCGCCGGTGAATTACATGAATCCAGCTCACAAGTTCACGCCACATTCCTCATAATTTGTTTTAGTCGGAAAGCCTGAAGGGAAGATACCAAGAAGAAACAGGAGAATGAGTACATGGAGTGGATTCATCTGACTCGACCTATCACTTAATTGTGAGCTCGTGTGAACACTTTAATGAACCTTCCTCATCCATATCAAGATTAATTTTAATATTCACCTGTCTGTTTCTAGTTCTTACTCGTAGTCCCTTTCCTTCAGGGTTTCCGACTGAAATTTTTCATATACTTTCATCTATGCTTGCTTCACGTCCCGTTAATCTGAACCTTGTTCATTTGATGCCATGATAGTATGTGATCAGGATTAAAATTACGAAACTCTTCTTTAGGTCTGTGCTATTTTCTGTATCCTCCTGTTACTTACACTTTCATAGGTTCAAATAATGACATCATCATCATGATCCTCCCTTAGAACGAGAGACCAAGTTTCACCCCCGTTGTGGGTTTTCGAGATATGTTGTGTCATGGCAACTCGCAACATACACACAGGCCGTGGACTATTTATTAGCGCACCTGAAGGGCATGTTTGTGACATACATGAAGCTTGGGGATATCTCTGCAAACAATATACATGTATTTTGCACCCTTTTTAGGAGTGTTTACTATGGCTTCGTCCGTTTTTATGCGTGAAACCACTCAAGGGGGGATAGAACATGGCATCGGAGAGTTCTGTGGGAAACTGGCAAACTATTTCACTTTCATTTGGGTTGGACAGTTTTAGCGACGACTTTGCATGAAGACCTATGCGTTTCTTCGCGCACCTCGACCTTAACTCACTAAATATTTATGGACAAAAAGTATTATCGAAGAAAGTTTTAAAGAAAATGGAAAAAGCATTTTATGACCAAACAGTCTTTTCTTCGCAAGGCTTACGTTTTTGGATATAATTAAACAGAATTGTTACGCTGTGGTCACATTTCCGGACTCGTATATTCAGCAGTCAGTGATGGTCGTTGTGAGACCCTCGAAGATTACCGTAGCCTCACATTCATTTGTAGTACATATTTATGAGTCCAGCTCTGATGTGTTTGTCGTGGTAAAAAAGTGGAAAAGCACTCGAATTCAGTAACCAGTTCTTTTAATTGTAAACATAAATTTTGCTTTGTATATATATATAGGACAGCTTAAAAAGTCAGCAATGACGAAATGAAAATCTAGAAGCAATAAATAGCCGAGCGAATCCGCCAGAAATGTGGGGCTATGATATTTCGTAAATTGTGAAATATTCAGAAAGAAAGTAATTACAAATTAATAAAATATTCTCCAAGCAAAGTTGTAGACAACCCAAACCTCAGACGTGATCACCAACGTCGTCATCTCGTGCACGACGAGACAGGCTGAAATTTATTTTTTTTGCAGCAAGTTGTGAATTTCATTCGTACAAACCTCAGGGCTCATGGCTCAGCTTAGAGCTCATCTGCCACGGATTACACCCTCTGGCCTTTTTTTCTATTCAGAATTATTTTTGAAAGTATAAATCTTTTAGACTCCTTAGACGAGGGATCGACCCATCTAAAGGCCTCTGCCTACAACCGTGCGTCGAGAGGATTCGAACCAGCCGTGCGCAGTGCCTCAGTGGGCAATACAGAGTTACAGTTGAGACGTACCGCACGTTTGCCACGGCAGTCCAGGAAGTCTCAGGAAGGTGGCGATCAGGTAGAATATAGTCCACGCAATGATAATACAGTAGTATATGTCCAGGAAGAACACAATGGTCATGGTCGCGTAGCCGACACCTGGAAGAAAAAGCACAGTCACATTTTAGTGTCCGTTGTTTATCTTCCGTCAAAATTGCAACACTCTCTACATTCTAGATTTCAACACTACATATTTCGGCCCCAAACGGCCATCTTCAGGTGTTTTTATGTTACAGATATTTTACTAAAACTATGACGGAAGATAAACAATGGACGCTAATTTGAACAATTGCAACGGGATGCTGAAATACAGAATCAGTAACATTTTCCTCATTTCTAGAACTAACCGCGTGCGGCAGAGTCCTTCTTGAGACACTGATGGTCAAGAAATTACCCGAAGGTTCATTGCCGTGTTCGTAAGAACTCGACATTTCGTGATACCCTGAGACGAATTAGTTCAGTCGCTGTTTCTTTTGCCCTTTTCGCCGTTTCTCAGTTGGCATCTTCCCATCAGGTTTTCGGACTAAAATGAACGTATTTCTCATTTTGTACATTCGTGTTACATGTCCCCCTCCCTCTTAGTTTGATCACCAATAATATTTGTTTGAGAGTGATTATTGTGTATGATGAACATTCCAACATTTATGTTAGTTCTTGCCCAAAAATCATCCTATGTAAATTGTTCTCTTAGGAGGCACATTTTTTCTTTTCACTGGCTCAACAGCCCCCTTGGGTCCTGGCCTCTGATTTTTCAGTCTCATGATCATTTTACATTACATTATCCTCCAGTTATACAGCCAAGGGCTTGGTCTCTGTTGACCAGTACACTGCCTTAAGCTGTCCAGAAATTTAAGGGACAATGCTTGCACTCACCTTGAAGTATGGGGCATAACTGACCCACTAAAGTCATGCCTCCCGCTCCTAAGTACTGTCCTACCGCAACTTCTTGGAAGAAGATGGGGATTCCGCAGAATATCATAGCGATACCGTACGTCACTAGAAAGGCCCCTGAAATGCAGAGGACATAGTTCAACCAAATTTAATTAAAGCTAGTCTCTCTCGCATACACATCAGGTACAGAGAGCTGAAGCTCACTTGACTTAACTTACGGTTTATAATGTACTCACAGTAGTTCGATGCTCCTTCTTCTCCCAAATTTTTGTTTAAAAACTGGAAGGAAATACTAAAGTTTTTCTATGATTTGAAGCTGGCATGGTGATGCTACATGACGTTTTTTTTTTTTTTTGTTTTTTTTTGACGGTCTACTGTGTGAAGATTGAGTTACTATCCAACGTTTACCTCTGGCTACTTCATCAGGGGTTGATACTCTCACACAGCACTGTGTTTGTTTGTTCGGTTTACTTTTGAACCCTGAGGATGGAGGCAGTATGATTTCCTGAAACGTCGGTAAACTTGTACCAAGCTACACGACGTCACATCCCAGAAGGTAGTACTTATCGTAGTTAACGCTGTGAGGACTTCAATCTTACTTAATATTCTTGACAATGTATGCATCAAATTATTCTTCTGCATGCATATTTATAAATTTAGAAGAACAGTAGAAGCAATGACAGGGCATTTTTACCACGTTGCTGATAAACGAAAGTTAGGGCACTGCCGAAAACAGACACAACTATTCTTATATATTATTAAAGTTAGATTCTAAAAGCAAAGGGGTGTGATGTCACACATCTTTTGCTTTATTTATAGCTCTGAAGCGTCATGGTAATAAGATATCGCTTTATGCATGAAACCGTTTTGCCGTTGCCTAGAGATGAAATATCCCTGAATATATATCGTTTCACTCAGTAAATCATACATGGCTTCCTGGCAACCACTAGAAGACGAGAGGAAGTAGTAATGGAGATTAAGCTCCATGGATTCTGAATCTCTGACCTAAATTATAATGTACAAGAACCCCCCCCCCAGCTATTATGAAACCGGAAGGTCCATTACCGTATTAAAAAGAGCCTGCCTGTGGATCCCACCACGATCCAGTCCACATCCTCACATTCTGTTCCTTAAAATGCATCTTAATGTTATCCTCTCATCTAGATCTCTCAAATGGCCACTAACGGGGCTCCATTTCCTAGTTGCGAGTTGCGTCTGGCTCTAGTCTATTACCTCATTTACTAAAGCCTAAGGCTGAAGTATATAATAGCGGACGTTTAGTGATGAGGCAGTCTGTCACGTGACACCATGCCTCAGGGTCAAGAGTTGGGCTACATCCTGTGCGTTACGGAGAAATCACCGTAATCATTGCGACCAGGGATGGCCAGTGGTTACATCCTTGAACTAAGCCCAACATTCCTCTCCTGCTTTGTAGAGAGTTTTCATAATCTGAGCTAATTAGCTCAGCGGCAATGAGTTTGAATACCATTAGCGAAGTACCTGGTTTCAGTAGTTCCAGAAGACGTTCTTACTTTGCTTTAACCGTCATGTTCGACTGCTTAACGTAAATGAGAGGATGCGAGTGTGACCAGGTAAAGGTTTGAAAGAAGGCAGTTGGGGCCTATTTCAAAGTAATAACTTTGCAGTAAGTCAGCTTGCAAGCTGACTCTTAACAGAACGCGGATAATAGAGGAAGCAATGAAATACAAAAACAGACCGGAAAATAACAGTATACAAGAGCACACCGACTGATTTCCAACATCACAACAGCTTCATAAGAGAATTAAACAAAAATAAGAACTAAATCCTAGCCGAAACAATGTCCGTAAAATTGCCAGGTACTATAACATCATGATTACAACGACGCACAGTAATATGTAACATTACATGAGACGATGAAGAAAGCAGTCTTCTGGGATTTTGCACCGTGTATATGTGGTGTTAACCGACGTTTCGGAGGAACGTATCGCCTCCATCTTCAGGGTAGAAGAAAAAATATATAAGAAATCTGCAAGCAAAGAGACCGTGAGAACCGGTAAAAGCAGTCTTCTTTTACCGGTTCTCACGGTCTCTTTGCTTGCAGATTTCTTATATATTTTTTCTTCTACCCTGAAGATGGAGGCGATACGTTCCTCCGAAACGTCGGTTAACACCACATATACACGGTGCAAAATCCCAGAAGACTGCTTTCTTCATAGTCACCGCCGTGAAAGCCTCAAATCTTACATTACATGAGACGTTTAAACACGAAGTAATAATATCTTAATTGAGTGTCTAAGTGTAAGATTTGAGGTTTTCACGGCTGTGACTATGAAGAACGCTGTCTTCAGTCGGTGCACCTGCTCACGCTGGTTCCTCGCTCGCGGATTTTCTTTTTTTTCTACCCTGAAGATGGAGGCTATATGTTTCTCCGAAACGTCGGTTAACACAATCTACACGGCGCCACATCCCAGAAGACTGCTTTCTTCGAGCATCTAAGTGATTTTTTAATTTTAAACCTTTGTAATTTATAATTATATTGTTTATATTTTGCACTATTGTCTGAACATCTGTAAACACCAGTTAACATAAAGTTTTTATTCTGGTTGAATGCCCATATAGGAATAGTAGTGGCTTTAATTTTGACGAAATGCTGAAACTCTGATGCATTAGTAATAATTGTAATACTGTAGCATATTCATAGAGAATGCTATTCAGTAGTTTAAGAATAAGTTATTAGTGTATACGAGTGTATTAGTTATATCGTATCTGCCAGATGATGGCTTTTCATAAGCCGAAACATGTAGCAAGGTACGACTGAAATCAATAAACTCGTTATACACACTTAAAGCGAACGAGATTCTGAGAGTTGTTGTGTTGTGACGGATGAACGAACAATTAGTACTTCCATTACAACTGCTTTACTTCCATTTAAATTAAAAATTTCTTAACTTCGCTTATTGGAGGGTGGAACCAACTGAGTCCACTCGGCATGGCGGCCACTGATTGGCCTATTGTACCTGCCCCGGGTGATTATGATGATGGAGAATTTGGTGGAATGAAGATTAGCAGGGGAAACCGAAGTACTCGGAGAAAACCTGCCCCAGCGCCACTTTGTCCACCACAAATCCCATTTGACCAGACCCGGCATCGAACCCGGGCCGCCGCGGGGGGAAGCCAGCGACTAACCGCTTGAGCCATGGCGCGGCCATTTATTCCATTTACTGACACTCCGTCGTATTTTCGAAATGGGAGCCCATCGAACACGAGGCACGGGTATTAATTGCGCTGCGAGAAGTGGTCAGAAACTCCCATGATTCAGCGGTAGAAGTGATTTACGAATGATGATGTAGGAGAATGCTGAATAAATCCGCTGTTAACTTGCTAAGATCCTGTCACAGTATTTATGTTGAGGGACTAAAACCCCCCTGAATATCCTGTAGGGGCCCGAAGTCCGTAATGAACACACGGGTTCAATAAGAGGCAGACATTTCTTGACTCTCATTTTGTTTGGCTGTGCCATGTGCCAGAGGATGAGACTGCGGAACCTTGGTTTAATTACAAGAGATTGAAGTTTAATCCCTAGTGACTGTGTATATTTGAGATTTGTGTTTCGTGAAGTGGCGTCATGCCGGTCACGGTAGCCGAGTGGTCTAAGGCATGTGCTGTCTTCGCTCGTTTGGAAACCGGGATCGTGGCTTCGAATCCCACTCAGGGCATGGATGTTTAGTTTGTGTGTGTGCGTTTTTCTGTGTTTGTGTACAGGTAGAGGCCTTGCGACGAGCTGATGACCCGCCCAAGGAGTCCTACCGAATGTGTAAGATCTAGAAAAACCGAAGTGAACGGAGAAGTTCATGGAGGTAGGCCTAGGCCCACTGGGGCTGTAGGGCAAAGGGGGGGGGGGAAGTGGCATTATTGCGGGGTCGTCTTTGATTTTCTTCCATTTTCTTTCCCGTTCTCTCTGCTAATTATCATTTAACCATTGTTCTGTAATCATTTGTCACCGCTCTGTAGATCTCTAGCCCTGTAGAGGGCAGCACATTATCACATCTTCGTTCTTTCAGTTAGAGGCTTCGTCTCGCTTACCCGGCCCTTTGTTGATCAAAGAGGAAGGAGGTTAAATTTATCGTCTTTCCAGAAAGTACATTAAACAATTAAATCGCTTACTTAGAATTTTCTTCTGCTTTCCAAATATATTTTCTGTATCCACCACACATTTACGGAGAACAGAACGTCCAGAAGACCCCCTCTGTGGTCTAGTGGTCAGAGTTCCTGGCTACAGATCCTGGGGTTCCGGGTTCAATTCCTGGCGCTACCAGATTTTTGGACAAGAAGTGGGCCAGGAACGGGGTCCACTCAGCCTCGTGAGGATAAGTGAGGAGCTAGCTCAAGGAAATAGCGGCTCCGGTCTAGAAAACCGAGATTAACGGCCGTGGGGATCCGTTGCGCGTGACACCTCTATCCGCAAAAGTTTGCACTAAATTCGCCGGCAAGCAGCAGTCGCTCGATCGGTATGGTTCGCTTGCGGACTGCAGGCCACGGAGTTTGTTTTGTTTTTTAGTTTGTAGAACGTCCAGAGAGACAACACAATCCTTTATTACTTTTAGTTCGTGATAAATAACTTATACGAAATGTTACAATTAAACACAGACAACATAGGTACACACTGAGGTTTTGATTTAAAATAAATATTTGGTCTCTAACTCACATATATAATATTTTCGCTTAATACACGTACTTACAAGAGGGCACGAGAATGCCGAATGGGACCCATTCCAAGTTTGGTTTAATACTTCAGAACACCTTGCGCACAACAGTTCAAATTTAGGATGCCATGTCGGAATTAATTAGGATAAGTTTGGTTTACATGTTTTGCAAAGTGTGAAGTATGTTCAGGTAGTGTGATTAATGGGCAGTTATCGAACAGTTAGCTTGAATATTGAATTTATTTCGCGAGTTTCTCCTGTCTGTGGTTGTTTCGAAATAGACCCATCCAGGCCCACAAACAAGAATAATTGCGCACTCCTGATCTAGGGGCCACCTCAAAATATTAAGAATCAAAATGGTAATAGAATATATGTTGGAAATACATCATTAAATTAGTCAGAGATTATAAAGTTCTCCAGTTTTACAGATAT